TATTTCCTAGTTTACCTCATTGCAATGTCCTTTCTGTCATCCATTTGAACCGTTATGATTGCAATAAATTAACTACATCTGTAACATGTAGGTTTGATGATCATCACCTCTTGCTTTTTTTTTTACTTAGGTTCTACGCTTCTAGATGACCCTCTCCAGATTGCGCTGGTTGTTGACAGGGTGCTTGTGTTTGAGGCAAGCAGTCTCGAGGTCGCTCTCTGCTCGCGCCTGGGAGCTTATTTCGTCTTCAACATCAAGTACCCAAAGGAGGCCTCGTACACGCTGGAGTTCCTTCAGAGGTACAGATATGTCAGAATTCAGTGTTTGTTCATGGCAGGACTGGTGGTCGATTATGCTAGGGCACCGGGACCCTGAACATGTGGACCTAGACCTCGCACTGCAGAGTCCAGGAATCCACAGTCGGACTAGCGCCTCACCTGTTCTAATCTTGATAGGCATTATACTGGCATCTGTTCGTGTATCACTACTGCATGTTGGCTCTAAAGGCCTCGGGTTAGCAGCCATACTGCACGAGATATTTTGCTGCGCAGTCTGAACCAGCCACCGACATGTGAAAGTCAGCCCAAAGGCAGGCTGTATAAACACGCACAAGGACATCTCGACATCTTTCACCCAAAAATGTGAGTTGTTCATGTTCAATTGACGTGCGTTTCTTTGACCTGTTATACAGGCATTTTGTCCAGGTAAACCCATCTAAAGGTAGCAAGTCCAGCTCCCGTGGTCACAACAAGGTCAATGGAATCCCAGCCAGAATTCTAGGCCTGCTGAACAAGATTGGTTCACTCTAATGGTGTGTTTTCTATTTTCGTCTTTCCCTCTTATATTTTGTGATGCTTGATTTTTGCTATTACAGATAAAAATTTGTTTTATCGGATCAAAAAAAGAAAAAGACGTTTACAACACCCCGTAACGCCGAATTAGAGCATAGCTCTTGAGGAGGAAGAGGTGAGGGTATACCCTTCCTCCTCTCCTGCTCCTCCCTGTCCCTCCTCTGCTCCTCATCCCTCTTCCCTTCTCTTCTCTTCTCCTCTTCCCCTCCTCCTCCCCTCGTCCTCCTCCCCACGTGTTGCATGATGGGAGCGGTCTTATAATGCACCGCGCAGTTACGGCAACGCCGACGCCGCTGAAGCCGGTAATGGGCGCCCAAGAGCTGCGCTCGAAAAGAATTCCTTTAATTCGATTTTCTTTTTCTAATTTGACCGATGGGGATACGAGACTAAAGGCGAAAATGTTTCTAAAAGTTCCTGTACTGCCTTCAGTTCTTACAAATGGTACACAATATAAAAGAAAAAGCAAGGACATATGCGGCAGCCCTGCAGCATAAATTAAAGAGACAGTGTTTTATTTATAGTACTAGATGGAATTAAAATGATAGACAGATGAGATAACTTGATTTTATATATATTATTTATATTAGGTACAATGAAGGCTCGTGTACCGCCGCCTATACCATTAGAATCTTGAGGTCCTTGTAAATTTACAAAAATATTTGTTAATCTATGTTTTAATTGTTACAGCGAGGGCCAAAGGAATCTAACCTACAAATTTATATACATCGCAAAAATCAGTAAAAATAATTGGGGTTATGTGGATAGTTATACAGCGTGTAGTTAGTCAGCTATTTCTAAGTTGTGACAAATAACTCGCTGTAGATGAACGATTTAGCCAGTGCTGTACAACCGCTAGCCTGCGGTCTTTAACAAGCACACGCAGTAGTGAGACACGACCGCATGCTGGTACGATGCTCATTCAGTTCAAATGAGCATGTGTGGGGACTTAACCCAGGATCCCTAAGTTCTGCAGTGCGAGCTCCCGCTCCACATGCTCCGATGTGGTGTGCGCTAGCGGACTTGACCACCCCCCAAAAATCAGTCTCGCTTGCTACGGTAGTGTGGTTTGTGACGTAGGTTCAGCTAGGTTGTGGATTTGTTTTGTTAAAATAGTACCAAAGAAAACACTTACCTCAGCAAAGAGTTACAAATAAAAACAATATATTTGTTATAGGCCAACATGGTTTTGAGCTTATTCAGATTGGAGCTTGAAAATGTTGTGGGCCAATGGGACGTTCGAATTAGCTCAAACATTGAAGGTAGGAACGAAGACACTTATTACTTCGCTCTCATCACCCAGTTTGTCTTGTATATGGTTTAGTGCCCCTCAACCGCGTTTTTAAACTTCCACCTGAGACAGCCTTAATCCCATGTCTGTCCATAGGAAACCTATTGTATTTATTTGTAACATTTGACCGGGGCAAGTTTCTCCTTCGAAATTTTTACAAAAAAAATCCACCACCTAGCTGAACAAACCGTAGAATACCGTGCATCCGCCCACTCTCCACTAAGTGCCCATTCCCAAATTTGTAATATCTGAGAAAGTCTGCGCAGTACGTTGAAATGTAAAATTAATAACCGGAAAAGCGCCCATCTCCCATTTTTTTGCGATTATGTCTAAATATTGAGTGGGCGCTTGCCCGGTATTTTACGATACGTCACAAATTACAGTGCCGCTTCTCGCGAAGATAGGTTAGATTCCCTTTGGTTCTCGCTGTAGAGTGTTTAAAAATTGGAAGACTTTTTTTTGTTTTTCATAGTTTATATGTATCATCAACCTGATTACTTTTTATATGCCATATTTTTAGAGTGGTTCAGTGGGCAGGTTTCATATGTTGCCCTAGTAGTCTTAAAATAGTCTCGTTTTCACCTGTAGCATATGTGACTTGTTGTAATTTGCGGATGATTTCTAAAAGATCCTAGAACACAATACCTGGCCTTGAGGTGTTGGGATCAACGAAAACTGCATTTTCTCAGACAAGCGCAGGTTTCCTCGGAGAGAAGCACAAGATGGGGCGTTGACAAGTCTTCTCTTTTCAACTGACCAAAGCAGTGTTTTACTGGAGGTGAGCTATGGTCTCTTTAACAGTGGTCTTTGTTTTATTCGTCATAGACATTATTCAGCACATCAGTTGTTTTTTTATGCCTCTGTTCTGTAATGTCAATTAGTTATCAACTAAAACTGCATTTTCCCTGATAAGTGCAGGCTTCCTCAGATGAAAGCGTAGGCTGGGGTTCTGTCAAGTCATTCTTTTTTTAACGGGTCCGGGCACATCGTTTTTATTGAAGGTAAACTATGGTCTTCTCGAAGTGTCTGTTCCTTATTCATCACAGACATTATTCGCTGCACTAGATTTTTCTTCTCTTCTGAAATGTCAATTGGTTTTCAACTAAATCTGAATATTCCCCGGCAATTGCAGGTTTTCTGCACGTAAAGCGCAAGATGGAGCGTGGACAAGTTTTTTGTTGTTTTAATCGTCGAAGACATGGAGTTTTACTGAAGGTGAGCTATGGTCCCGTTACAAGTGGTCCATGTTTTATTCGTCAGACATTCACTGCATCAGGTTTTGTCTTGCTCCTCTTGTGCAACATCAACTTTAACTCCATTTTGCCTGACAAGCGCAGGTTTCCTCAGACGAGAGCGTAAGCTGGGGTCCGGACAAGCTGTTATTTTTTTTTTAAACGGCCCGGGCACATTGTTTTATTGAGGGTGAGCTATGTTCTTCTTTAAGTGTCTGTGCCTTATTCGTGACAGACATTATTCGCTGCACTAGGTTTATCTTCTGAAATGTCAGTTGGTTGTCAACTAAATCTGCATTTTTCCCTGGCAACTGTAGGTTTTCTGCACGTAAAGCGCAAGATGGAGCGTGGACAAGTTTTTTTGTTTTCTTAATCGTCCAAGGCATGGAGTTTTACTGAAAGTGAGCTATGGTCCCGTTACAAGTGGTCTGTGTTTTATTCATCACAGACATTATAGCCACATCAGGTTTTATCTTGCTCGTCTTCTGAAATATCAATTGGTTTTCAACTAAAACTGCATTTTCCTGTTAAGCGCAGGTTTCTTCAGATGAAAGCGTAGACTGGGGTCTGAACAAAATGTTCTTTTTTTTTAACTGGCCCAGGCACATTGCTTTATTGAAGGTGAGCTATGGTCTCCTACCGGCCTTACTTGTCACAGACATTATTTGCTGCCCTAGATTTTTCTTCTCTTCTGAAATGTCAGTTGGTTTTCAACTAAATCTGCATTTTCCCTGGCAATTGCAGGTTTTCTGCACGTAAAGCGCAAGATGGAGCGTGGACAAGTTTTTTTTGTTTTTTTAATCGTCCAAGGCATGGAGTTTTACTGAAGGTGAGCTATGGTCCCGTTACAAGTGGTCTGTGTTTTATTCATCACAGACATTATAGCCACATCAGGTTTTATCTTGCTCGTCTTCTGAAATATCAATTGGTTTTCAACTAAAACTGCATTTTCCTGTTAAGCGCAGGTTTCTTCAGATGAAAGCGTAGACTGGGGTCTGAACAAAATGTTATTTTTTTTAACTGGCCCAGGCACATTGTTTTATTGAAGGTGATGCTATGGTCTCCTACCGGCCTTACTTGTCACAGACATTATTTGCTGCCCTAGATTTTTCTTCTCTTCTGAAATGTCAGTTGGTTTTCAACTAAATCTGCATTTTCCCTGGCAATTGCAGGTTTTCTGCACGTAAAGCGCAAGATGGAGCGTGGACAAGTTTTTTGTTTTTTTAATCGTCCAAGGCATGGAGTTTTACTGAAGGTGAGCTATGGTCCCGTTACAAGTGGTCTGTGTTTTATTCATCACAGACATTATAGCCACATCAGGTTTTATCTTGCTCGTCTTCTGAAATATCAATTGGTTTTCAACTAAAACTGCATTTTCCTGTTAAGCGCAGGTTTCTTCAGATGAAAGCGTAGACTGGGGTCTGAACAAAATGTTCTTTTTTTTAACTGGCCCAGGCACATTGTTTTATTGAAGGTGAGCTATGGTCTCCTACCCGCCTTATTTGTCACAGACATTATTTGCTGCCCTAGATTTTTCTTCTCTTCTGAAATGTTAGTTGGTTTTCAACTAAATCTGCATTTTCCTTAGCAATTGCAGGTTTTCTGCACGTAAAGCGCAAGATGGAGCGTAGACAAGTTTTTGTTTCGTTAATTGCCTGAGGCCCAAGGCACGGTGTTTTACTGGAAGTGAGCTGTGGTCTGTGTTCTATTTGTCACGGACATTACTTGCTGTATCAGATATTTCATGCCTCTCTCCTGCAATGTCAATTGGTTTTCAACTAAAACTACATTTTCTGTGATAAGCGCAGGTCTCCTCGGAGGAAAACACTAGGCGCCGAGATGTGCTGGCCTTCCCTTATGGTCCAGACCAGTTGTTTTCATCAAGGTGAGCTGGTCTCTCTTTGCAGATCGAGCAGGATTATTTGTATTGTGTGCATGTCAGGCTCACCTTGTTTTGAATTGTTTCGACAGCCTTGTGCTTAGCTTATGACTATATACATCTTTCTTTTGCATATGCAGGGAGCATTGAGATAGCCCTACACCTCGGAAGAAGTACCCATAAACGAATTTTAGATATAATAAAGAGCTATTACAATTTCCCTCGTTTTTTGTTGTTTAAAATAAGCTCGAAGAAAACAGCTACAAAGAGCTAAAGAAAAATAATTTACAAACAACCGACCAAACTATTTTGCATTTTCACTGCTGTCTCAATTCTGAACCCTTTCTCAAGGGTGTTTATGTTGCGAGAATTTGCTGCCGATATGATGCCTTAATATGATCCGGCCAGCTTGAGCTGCACTTTCGAAAACCTCCAGGTCGCTCTGGTCTGTTCCAACTCTAGAACAGCAAGAGCAAGCCCCTCCCACAGAGCCCGTCACTCTTTCAACATCAGCAGAGCGGAGGCTGGAGAGCAGGGGAGTGGGGAGGAGAAAACAACCAATCATGGTGCAATGGTGGTTTCCTTCCCTCCACTTACCTATTATTCTTGGCTTGCAACAGATTTTAGCAGCTCACAGCTGTGTCTGCAGGTGCATCACATGAGAAACACTGTAGCTAGTTGCTGTTTTGCTGCACCCTATCTCACCTATTTTGAAGTTAAAGTTTCTGTGCCAATTATTTTCTCTTCATTTTAGACAAAGCAGCAGAGCTGCTCCAAAGTGCATGAATTCACTATTGCATTGCATTGCAATCCCCATAGTATATGGCTCACGTTTCCAGGTGCATCAATGACCCTGAAGTTATATTTCAGAATATCATTGCACAGAAACTTGTGTAAGTGAAAAATATTGGACAGCAGAACATGAGCTACTTCAGTGCCTCAGCTAAAAAGAGATGTAGAAACAAATATTTTGTAAAAAAGAAATGATGAAATGCTTGGCAGCTCTATTAAGAGGGGTTGCCCATTAAAATGCTAATGTGCCCCCATATTGTGAAAATATGTGAAAAAAGATGTCGTCAATGCAACGGTACCCATTTTACCGAAGTGCAAGGTTGCTTGTTAAAATTATGTGCATGCATAATTTTAATGGGCATCCTTATACTTCGGAAGAATGAGTATTGTCATATTAACGACTTTTTTTTACATTTTTTCAAAATATGGGGGCACGTTAGATTAATGTTATAATACCCATTTTTTCAGAGTATAAGGATGCTCATTAAAATGATGTGTACACATAAGTTTAACGAGCATCCTCGTATTTTGAAAAAATGGGTATCCTTGCATTAACGTCCCTTTTCACATATTTTCTGAATATGGGGGTGCGTTATTTTAATGAGCATCCCCTCTTAATAGAGCTGCCAAGCATTTTCTCGTTTTTTCTACGAAAGATTTTTTACAGTGTAGCAAGCTGTTTAAGGGGGGTGCGGGAACTGATGTCGCTGCTGTTGACGCCGTTGTGCCGAAAATTGGGAGCATCCGAGACGGCCGATCTAAGGTGAAACAGCTGAAGAGGCACACGTGGCTGTTGCACTCCGACGATGGTATCAGCGGAACCGAGATGCCGGTCGAAGCAGAAGCCCAGGGTAACGACCAGAGCAGGAAAAACGCCAGGGTCGCCTGCGAAATGCAGAAACGCAGCATGAGACTCATGTCGCTGCCACTGCATCCAATCAACTTATTAGTTAAAGCAGCAATATTCGACAACATCATATTTCCTGTTTACGCCATGCATTTTATTAGACAGTTTTAGTATAACGTTTCTGGCTCTTGCGTACGCAATACGGAATAGTCCAGCGTAAGCTAAAAACGACCTCCTCGGACCGATTTTATATTTGCGTTATGGTGCCCAATGAATATCTCGCGTGATCTTTGCTGATTTGCTGATTCAATATGCCAGAGCCGTAGAATTCCGCGTGTATATAGCGCCATTATGCAGCTCCAGAGAAATATTGAAAATGAAAATATTTCCATCACTTTATTTCATATTGAACTAAGCCACAGCTGCCTGGTTTTTCCTGGCCGGGCTTTTCTGCGGGGTATGGAGGCTGAATACGAGTGCGTAGCCAAATTCGATCACGGAGCCTGCGTCAATCATTTCGTGCAAACGGCACCTTTTATCAATGCTATCGCAGAAAGAAATTCATGACCACAGGGATGTCCAATCCGCAGCGACGACTTCGGCGATTTTTCGAAGAGCCGTTCGTCCGTCGGCGATGAACTGCGCGAAGAGGCTTAGCATTGAGCAGATCGCAGCGTTCACGCATATTACGAGCGGTGAACATTTTCACGATGCACTCCTTCAGCTGCACGGCGATCTTATTCGGCCGCGGTATACGTCCCGGAAAAAATTGCCGAGACGTATACCGCGCTATTTTAAGCAACAGTGAACTTCGTGAGTACCACGTCGCCCTTGCTGTGCCAGTCGAGGTAATCGCCATCTTGAAACAGGTGCTCTCGCGGGCCCCGATATCTTTTGAGAGCTTCCCACAAAGCCCGCTAGCGTGCAACGCTAAATCCCCAGCGTTGCGTGCATACTCAGTACGCTAGGCCTTCTACTGCGTTCTGCGCATGCGCACTCTCGACTCGCACTGTCTCTGCTTATGCAAAGCCTTAGCGTACGGTCCACTAAAACTGTTTGTTGACACCGCAGCAGTTTCGTCGAACGAATGTTGCAGCGTGACAACGGGTGCAAGCGATATTTTTTTTTTTTTTGGCGAGACGGACATGCATCTAGGGCGCTATAGCTAACTTTGTAAGGGTGCCTTTCTGTGCACATCTCACGCCAGTCGCTCACAAAGGGACACGGAACATAACCTATAGACCGACACGCGGAAGGGCTCTGTTTACCAACACGGCCGGAAGGCCGCGCATGCGCGGTAGCTATGTGGGCAAAAGCAGCCCGGCTCTCCGTGTTTTCGCCATTGCGCTCTATGGCGTGCGCTCATGTTGTTGACGTTGTAGGGACGCTTGTATCTTTATTTGTGCGTCGTATTTCCTCACAACGTATGTCGTATGCTATGCCCGACTATTTGAGCTCGTTGCCCGAGCCTGAACGGCAGCGGTATCGAAACAAACTGTGCGTGGACGGCGTTGACTACGAGGATCCGTACGCCGTATGAACAAGACCTGCTGGACTTCCGACGTAAAGTTGCTGTCACCAACGTCGATGGCTCACGTCGTCTTTTATTTAGTTTTTTCGCCAAGCCACTTCACGGCCGACACGGTGCAGGCGTACACGTCTCTTGAGGTCTACGATTAATTCGAGTTTGTTTCCGCACTGCCGGCGGGATCAGCAGCCTGTGGGTCCGCGGAAGTGCGTGTATTCATTAATTGATTAAATACACACAGCGTCTTCAAGTCAAGGTATGATATTTTCCCTGCCCTCATGACCACAAGGCATGACAAGCAGTAACGCTTTGTCCGTTCTGCAGTCTTGGCGGTAACAGGTTACAACTAACGGCGTTGTTGGTAACGCGTTACTTTTTTCAGTTACGTAGTAACGCACTCGTTACGTTTTCGACACAGTAACGGGTAACGTATTTATGTTACTATTTCAAGTAACGTAGTTACGTTACTCGTTATTACTTCCTAAGTCTTAAAGAAAGTACACTTCAATTTTTTACGTGTTTTAGGCGTCAAGCCATGATTTTCTTTGCGTTTTTTCTCGTAAGTATTTAGGTGAAACCGTAAAAAAAGATAAAGTAATTATGTTCAGTTTCTGCATGAACGTAATGTTTCTTGATATATTACCTGTATCGTCAAAACCGTAAAATGTGTTAAATCCTAATTTAAAAAAAAGTAACGCAGAACAGAAGTAACGTGCGTTACTTTTTATCGGTAGCGGTAACGCGTTCCTTCTATTTTTAGGTAACGTAGTTCAGTAACGCGTACCTTTTATTTGCAAGTAACGAGTAACGTATTTCGTTACTTTTTTCGGTAACGCCTACAACGCTGCGGTTCTGTCGCCGTTCCCCTTCTGCTGGGTAGCACGGGCATAACGAGCCTCCGATGAGCGCTTGGCCGGCACGTGCTTTGTGCGCGAACACCATGGGAACAAAATCCGGGAGGTCTCGATCAGACAACGGTTTCCCTGCACATAAGCAAGCCTCGGGACGGAGATTGAAATGGAAGCCGCACTTGTCTTCAAGAAAGTGTTTGCCGCACAAACGGTCGTTCGCGCGAGGCGACCATACTTTTCGATCCACGGATATTATCCACCTTCTATGCCTTTCAGAGTCTGCCGGGAACTTGTGGAAACTCACTCCGCTGCTTTTCTTGTACATTTTGGCGCAATTAACGGCAACACAGCTTCGCGGCATGCTGAAATGCTATGACGCCCAGGCGAAACATGCGCGCTTTTGCCCACACCCCCCGGCTCAGGCGCGATTGGAGCGCCGCCGCAGCTCCGTGACGTCAAGCCCGCGTGTCGGTCTATGAAAGCCCAACTAACGAGAACACAATTTGCGGCTCGAAATTCGCTTTCTTTCCGCCCGAAAACAGCAGGTCGAGAATTGGCCGGTTACAGTCGCGCTCACTCTCTTTTCCATGGCGACCTGGCCTTCAAACTGTGTACGAAATGTATTCAAAGTCGTCGGTAATCTTAGTCACACATGCAATATTATAAAAAAAATATACAAACGCTATTTTTGTGGTTTCTAAAAAAAACTGCAAATGTTCTGTCAAAAAAAAAAAAAAAAAGCGTACACAGATTACAGGAACTACATCTAGACGTCACTGGGGGTCTTCTAGCAAACCGTTACAGTGTTTCGCGTACCGCACTAACGGAGCCTTCGAACCATGCCTTTAAGCGCACGCTCTGCAGTCACGGCATCACCGGGCGCGCGCTTAAAGGGTAACTGCAAAGAAAAAAAAAAAAAAAAGGACTCGTCAAGCTGCACAAATGCAGCTTTTTTTTCTCTGTCCCCTTCCATCATGTACTTGTGCTTGATGGAAAAATAAACATTATTATTATTGTTAAACAGCCTGATTGGGACAAGCATGTCACAAAACAATTTTTCCGCCAAGAACAAACTTTTCTACAGCAATATTTATTGCGCGAGACCGATCTTAGTTTGCAGCTATTTCGTCCATTTTAAATCGCGCGCCACAAAGTTGGTATTATACGTCACGGAGTGGCTGCTATACGCCACGTCACGTATTATAACCACTCCGCGCGCGTCGAAA